TAAATTTGGGTTGTATCAAGCCTCTGTGTGACCTGCTGACTGTCATGGACTCCAAGATTGTTCTGGTGGCATTGAATGGGCTGGAGAACATCCTGAGGCTGGGAGAGCAGGAAGCCAACCAGAGTGGGACTGGGATCAACCCCTACTGCAGCCTGATAGAGGAGGCCTATGGTAGGTGGGGGCTTTGGGCACTGCAGGAGGCACTGAGGGGGTCTCTTGGGTGCTTTCCTGCTCTGTTAAGGGGTTTAGTATGTTCCAAAGTGGCCAATATTTGTTCCAAAGTCTCTTCAGACTCGTGATTGGGTGAGGAGAAAATACTTGGAAGTAAAAACTATCAGAATTCTGATCCAGGCTTCCAAGACGTGGAGGCCAAGCTGATTAGTCATGGCTTTCACCAGCTGGGAGTGTTTACTCAGCTCAGCTCATTTCTGGTTAAAAGTGACAATTCTGGGCCTATAGTTGCTCAAACTGTACCCACTTGAACACTGGAAATCCAGGGAGAGTTTGCTTTTCCCTGGAGCAACTTAATTTGGTGATGGTGGGTTTTGGGTTTGTTTTTTTTGTCCTTCTCTCAGTGCTTTAAGGAGCAAGTTCCTATTTTGGTCTGGAACTCCCTGTGTACTGCCAGTGTCTGCTTTGCCCTCTGATTATTACACTCTGTGTCCTGATTCTCCCTGTAAGAACAATTCTTGGAATTCTTGGATGTGCAGCAGGGGATTTAATTAGGGCAGCTAAAAGCTGAAGGCTGCAGACCCTGCTCCTTCCCCTCCCTACCCCCTGCAGCTCCCAAATTCCTCACAGCCAGTTGTGGAGGCTAAATCAGATTCCAGTCAAATTAAAACAGCTGTATGAGCTAAACCTGCCACTGGAAAGACATTAATGCTGCCTGGCAGGGGTGAGATCCTCGAGCAGCTCTGGAATAGCTGCTTTTAGGTCTGGATTTAGGTGTCAGAGCTGCTCAGAAAATGCAAATCTCACACAGTGAAGAAGGACGAGGGTGGGAGTGGGAATAAATCTGAGGATGAACTACCAGGATTTCTTTGTTTCATCACATTCCAATTTTTTTTTTTTTCCCCTGCAAGGTTTGGATAAGATAGAATTCCTCCAGAGCCACGAGAACCAGGAGATCTACCAGAAAGCCTTTGACCTGATTGAGCACTACTTTGGGGTGGAGGACGACTCCTCCGTGGCCCCCCAGGTGGACGAGAACCAGCAGCAATACATCTTCCAGCAATCCGAGGCCCCCATGGATGGTTTCCAGCTATAATGTGCCCTGGGGAGAATTAAAACACGCCACAGACTTTCTGGAAAAGCACCTGGGAGCAGCTGCTGGCCCTTGCTGGGAAGGCTGAACAACACCCTGAGTTTAGGAAACTCTTCTTCCTTCAAACAAAAAAATACAAACGGCGCTCGGTCCTTGCAGAAAGAAGGGGATTCTTCTTATCCTTGTTTCTTTTGGCTGCTGCACACGTGTCTTTAATGCAGGAGGGACACGGAGGTGACAAAGTGGCACCTCCTGGTGGCTTGTTCTTTGTGGTGGTCCCTCCCAAATGCAGTTTTTACCTCGGGTACTCCCGTGAGGCTCCGCCGTTGGCTTGGGTGAGGACACAGATCAGAGAGGGAGTTTTCTGGCCACAATAATTCTGGAAAACGTGGGTTGATCTATTTAATTTTTAATTTTTTTCTTTTTTTTTTTTTTTTTTGCACATGTTACTCTATTAAAGACTCTTTAATTGGCCAAGAGCAAAGTTTAACCCTGGCCTTCCTCCTTCAGTGGACAGTCCTGGGTGAGCCCAGGCCGAGTTCCCTGAAAAAAAATGGACAGAAAAACAGGGAAGTTCTCCCACTCTTGGGAAGATTTATTATTTTTTTTTCTTTCTGCTGCTTCCCTTTTGTCTAGATTTTATTTTGTTTGTTTGTTTTTGTTTTTGAAGAACTGCTAGTGGTATTTCCAAGGATTTAAAAAAAAAAACAAAACAAAACAAAAACAAAAAAAAGCAACAAGAGCCCAAAGATGGGAACTGGGGTGGGTTGTTTTTTTTTTCAGAGCAGGAAGCACAGCTACCATTGCACAGGTTTGGTTTGCATTGTACTGACTGACACCAGAGCTCTGAAATGCTGAAACCCACCTTCATCTTTACTTGAAATACTTTATTTTCCATGAGAACATGGGCTGAATGCTGGGGGGTTTTTTCCTGCCTTGGGGTGGTTTGATGACTTGGAGGAAGGCTTGGTGGTGACAGGGGTGGTGGGAGCTCCAGCAGCACCAGGTTTCCAGGCTTACATCCTGCTCACAGTTGTGATAATGTACATTTTACTTCCAAAAAAAAAAAAAAAAAAAAGGCAAATCTCTGTATTTTTTATATTATATATAGGTAGATATTTGTCTAATTGGGCCACAGAGAAAACTATATATGGAATTTCTGCAATTCCTGTAAATAAAGCGCTGTGAGGCAGGAAAACACCTGGAAACCCACGGGCTCAGGGGTGTCCTGCTGCCTCTCCCGTTCCCTCACGTCCTGTCTGTGTGAACACGGAGCTGCCTAAGCCCCCTTTGAGTGACTTTGCCACGATTTCATTAAAAACAGAGGAGAACACAGCAGAGTTTTGTGGTGCCGGGGGGGTAGCTGAGCCCCCGCGGGGGTCACGACGAGGGGCGAGGGGGCTCTTGTTGTGCGAGGACTGAACCCCACGGGCGCAGGTGGGGTGTGACGGGGGGCTGGGGGCTGGTCTGAGGTTACTCTCTGACCTTCGGGGGGGACGGGAGGGGACCCCAGGGACCGGGAACAGATGAGACCCGCGCGGGGCATGCTGGGAGCTGTAGTCCCCAGGGCAGCCCGGTGCGGGGCATGCCGGGAACTGTAGGCCACATTTTCTTCCCTTCCTCCTCCTTCTCCTCTTCTTCTCCCCACGAGGGGTATGTCGGCAGCCATAGGCAACAGTTTCCCTTTCTCCTTATCGCTCCCACGCGCGAGGGACATGCTGGGGGTTGTAGTTCCCGGTGCCGCCATGCGCGGGGCGCGCCGGGAGCTGTAGGCCCCGCTTTCCCTCCTTCCCTCCCTCCTCGCCTTTCTCCTGTCCCTCGTCCCGCGCGGTGAACGCCGGGAGTTGGGAGCCGCGCGCGGTGCGTGCCGGGAGTTGTAGTTCCCCCCTCGCCGCCTCCCGCCGCGTCTCCGCGGCGGTTCCCGGCGTGCCCCGCGCGCGGCGGGCGCTGATTGGCGGGGCGGCGCGGGGCGGGCGCACGCGCGGCCGTTGGAGGCCCCGGGGCCGAGCCGCTCCCTCAGAGCCGGTACCGGCGCCCTCAGCACGGGCAGCCTCCGAGCCGGCACCGGCGGGACGCACTGCGGGCGCACCGGCACGCATGCACCGCGGCGCCGCGCCTGCCGGCTGAGCAGCGAGGCGGCACCTGCGTCAGACCGCCGGCGCTGACGTCACGGGGGTGCGCGCGTGACGTCACCCCGCGGGCGGGGGGGGGGG